GTTCATGAAAATGTCCATATTTGCACAATTATTAAAATGGCCCGGTGTACATGGACTGTAAATTAAACAGACTATTCCCTGTTTGCAGCCAATTTACCTTCTTCTGCCTTACCAGGGAGCACTGAGGGGCTTGCCATTTAGCATTCTTGTTTTGCAGTACTTGGGTTCCAAGTTCTAAACTCATCAAGGACCCCATCTGGATAGAGTATGAATGTTCCCTGTGTTTATGTGGGCTTTTTCCACATTTAAAAACAAGAAAGCAGATTGGCTCTACAATGTATGGCTCTACTACAATGTATGGCTCTACTATGTACATACCCCAGCATCTCTACCCACATGGTTAACCCAGTAACTTTAATCCAATAACCATGGAATGTGTCAAGGCAGAATTAGATGGTCTATCATAAAGGGGAGGTGTAAAAATCCTCTTGTTCCTACATAATCCAACACCATAGTACCAGGAAGTCTGGGATAGCTGTTAACTGTATGAGCTACACGGCTGAAGGTGTAAAAATGATGTTCCCAACCTGCATTACAGCTGAGGAAGCTACTTAGATAAGCAGACAAGTATATTCAACCTTACAGAAGAAGAAGTCCGGTTGCATGTGACTGACAGACATACGACAGTGGTAGGACAACAGAATGGAAGGTCTGATAATGAAACGGATGGTAAAGTTTACCATTTTTAGCAACATATCAGAATCCCCTTTAGAACTTTTCAGATTGTTTTCTTCAAAAATTGGACAGTGTGGGGATTAGGAAGGCTCAGAACTCAGGTCTTGGTTCTTACTGCTATCTGTGGCTGTGAGATTTCGCTTCAATTTCTGTCCTGGAGACAGAACAATAAGTGAGTGGAAATTTCACCTTATACAGCTGTTACTGGAACACGTATCTTCATTGAAAGATTTGCCTCTACTCCTGTTTTGGTGACTAGAGATGGGTTCGGACATTGAACAAATATGGCCATATAAAGTCGATGATGTCACCAGCACCCCACCCTTTGGTTTACATGCAGGGAATGAGGCCGCCGCTGATTGGGCTGGCACTGTCAAGATTCCTTCTGGATCCAGGTGAGCTCAGGTTTGGTCCGAACCCAAGCTCATCCCTACTGGAGACAACTGTTGGTGCTTGTTCATACCAGCCCACATGCTAAAACAAGATGTTTTAGCGGGTGGGTTACTGTCAGTTGTGTATGGGTGATGCCTTTTATTGTTACAATACAAGGCACAGTTTACCTATTTTCTCCCCTTTAGCTTTATAGAAATGTCTTAATAGCTTGCAGACTACATAAAAAACCTCAACTGAAGAAGGGTCACCAGCTCTCCGCGGCGAGGAAGGGTCACCAGCTCTCCGCGGCGAGGAAGGGTCACCAGCTCTCCGCGGCGAGGAAGGGTCACCAGCTCTCCGCGGCGAGGAAGGGTCACCAGCTCTCCGCGGCGAGGAAGGGTCACCAGCTCTCCGCGGCGAGGAAAGCAATGTAGATTTATTTACAAAGCATCATATAGGTCAAAGAAAGCCAATGTTTTGGGGACAAGCAGAGTCCCTTTCTCAAGGCAACACAGTGATACTCAGCATCAAAAACCTTCCAAAGGCTCTAACCCTACTCTGTTAGACCCCCCCAAAAAAACAAAAAACTTTTGGTTGGAGTTCTGCTTTAAAGGCCAGAACCGTACAAAATGGCTTTCAACTTGGTGTCATACATATTGTACTTTGCTCCTCACGCTGTTTGCTGGAGTAATCTGGAAGGCGCACACAACCAGGGCTAATGAATTACAAGGGAAACCTTTCGTAAACAAGCTTACGTCAAAAACGTACAGAGGTTCATATATCAAGTTTAGAATGTTGGGATGACTACGGCAGCTGTAGAACACATCTGGTGTTTTTCAGCAAGCTCCGTTCCCTAGAATACTTGGTCGGGACGACTGGCAGAACGTCCTGTCATTCCACAGACATCAGACTAGCAGCACAACTGCCCAAAAGAGTTTCTAAGAAAAAGGAAGAACAGAACAGGACAGAGCTCGTAAGTACACCCATGTTCCATATACTGTTAAGGGAGTTTATCACAAAGCAAAAACACATGAGGAATTAAACCCTAATAGAGGCAGTCACTGTAAACCAGCCACAGTCACTATAAGCCACATACATGTTCTAGGTTTGCAAACCTAAATTACTCTTCCATCACTGGAACAAGGATGCCGCGTCTGAATCAAAGTCTGCCTTTTGCGAGAGCCTAAACAGGTTTTTAGACTTGTGACAGGGTCTCTTTAAAAATGTTTTTGACCTTTTTGGAATGCAATTAAT